TTATTCAACTCTAATTCTATTTTGTCCTTATGCATACAGGACGTGTGAGATATCTGCTCAATCCCGCCTATGTGTGCTGTTTTAATATCATGATCATTATTCGGTGTATCAGGCGCTTAAAAAAAAGTTGAAAACGGTCCAAATGTTCGCATATTTAAGATAAATTAGTCTTAAAAAACTGACATACTATAAGCCGTATTATTGACCCTCCTCCAGTTTGTATAATAATATAGTTATGAGTTTTACATATAGTTATGATAGGCCCAGTTTAGAGAGTTCCTTTTAGGTAGGGTGAGTTTTGAAGGCCTTGGCTTAATTAAGCGATGATGATATTGTTGAGTTCTATATTGAAGGTAAGCTTAACAAACGATAAAAGTCAAGTTTATGCGAGGTCTCATCCATGCAGTAATTTTAGTTCAATAAATGTTCAGTGTTCTATATAGAACAATGCCCTATAAATGTTCTATATTGGTGGATCAATTTTCTGTATTGAAGTATACGTACAGAACAGTTAAAATAATATATGTATTGTATTTTACATTTACTCAGAAAGACAGTCAATATCACTAAACAAGCAATGGAACCCACGGAAAATGAGGTAGAGGGGGATACAAAATATCTTAAATGGGGGAGATCGTTTGAAATAGAGATGGAGGACCAGGGGTGCTATGGACGAACAATCAATTGCGCCCCCCCCCTTTATATACAGTTATTCACGTGATGTAAAAAAAAAACCCCACCCTTTTTTACTATTTTTTTTTTCTACCTCGTCTGTCCCACACCATCCACCCTTCCTATAGTTACAACACCTTTAATGGAGGATGGATATTCATGGATTGAGTTTGAAAAAAAAAGCCTCGAATCTAACCGCTCAATGTGCTGTAAACGCACAAAATGATATGTGGGTCAGTAAAATGGGGAGAATAATATACTGGAACTGTGGGTGTGGTGAAGGTGGGGGGGGGGGGGCGTTTTTATATTCACAATAGCATATCTTAAGAGTATTCTATTCGTAGGTCAAGGTGAAAATATGCTGAAACTGAGGTTTTTTTTTTTTTTTTTTTTTTTTTTTTTGTGACAGATTTTTGATGAAATAACTAATATGGCTCATAATAAAATCTAGGTATGTGATGTGATGTATCGTGTGTGTGTGTGTGTGGGGGGGTCTATGAGATGGTAACTTAATTATTTGACAAGTGGTCATCAATAAATTTGGCGACTTTTACCCCCCTCCTCCCCTCCGTCACACATCATCACAAAACGCCACACCACTCCCCATAAAAGGACGTCATAAACCCAGGTCTACAACCCCACCCCCTCTAAATTGCATTTTTTTTTTAAAACTTCGATTTCTTTTTTAAAATATTGATAAAATAATGTTGCTTATATTAATCAATTTATAGTAGGCCTACGCATAAAACGGATAAATTTCATTTTCTAACACTGTTATATTAGGCCTACGCTATCTTAGCCTCCTCTCCCCCCTTTCCCCTCCCTCCTCACACATCGTTAAAAAATGCGGATTCTGAAGCAAAATAATAATACTGTAGCTAGGCTATACTTTTCATTCATTATAGATTTTTCTTTATTGTTATTGTTTCGTTATGCCCAAATGCGCTCTAATTAAAAATAAAAAAGAATAGCCTCCCTTAAACAAAATGGCTACCGAAATACAGGTATGTTTGTAAACATCTACCAATTTCCAACGCCATTGTATTCTTTGTCTTAAACTTCTTTTGCAAGCGGGCACAATATAGCTTTACACTTTACAGTTTGCAGTGAGACTTACTGAGAACCCCAGGACATAGATCTAACTAAATTGTGAAATTATTTATTCTGCTCACTACAACAGTAGGCTAACAAAAAATAATATTTTTAATATTTAAGAGCAGAGAGAGCCGCAAGCCAGACATATATTTATATTAACGCATCCCCCCCCCCCCCCCTGGACGAAATTATTAGGGTAGGGCCTATAATTTATACGCCTAGTAATTTATATTATAGTGCCTACTATACTACTATATAGGCAAGAAAGTATATACTTAGGCCAGTATCCCCCCCCCCCCCAAAAAAAAAAAGCTGCAAAATTTCAAGCAATAGGCCTATGCGCTATCCGCTATAAGATGGGCTAATATAGGGCATAGGGGCCTATATATTGAATTGAGTAGATTGTAGAACATGACCATCCTTCGGGCTTGTCCTCTCTCTTGTACAACTTGTTAGTTGTAGTTATGTTGTTACAATTATTAGCCCTACCCCAATCCTTGTAGATTGTATATTGAAGTTAAAATAAGGTGGCTGTGAAAGATTTGTAAGATTGTAAAACTGAATTGAAATGTAACATTTAGGCCTATAGGCCTATAACATTATTATATTACTATTATATTAGGCCTAATTTATATAAATATCACATATATCCACTAACGCTTCTCTCTGCTTGAAATATGGAGGGTACTATAAGATTTTTGCTTGTGCTAAATTTAATTAGTCAGCTTACTATTTCACTGTTAGCTACCTGAAGTTTTATTGTTTAGGAAATATTTTTTACATTTTGATTCTTTAATTATTTTATATTTGAATATAAAATGAAAAACTGCAATGCCTTTATTTCAGAATGTGGGTCTGGATGATTTAATGGCCTCTTTGATGTCCATGGGGTTTGAATTTAATGATTGCCAAGATGCTATAACTAATGGCAAACTTACAGTTCAGGCTGCCATAGACTGGTCTGTCCTTATTTGAAATTTATAAAAATACTTTTAAATATTGCATTCTATTATTTATATGTCTCATAATGAATAAGGGTTTGCTTAGATTTAATTTCCGCTCTTTAACAGAAATTCTAAGAGTAATTATGACAAAGGGGCATGCAGTGTCAATAGATTGTAATGTATTCATGCAATGTCTGTTATTTATCAATTTAATGATTGTTGTTTATATTCCTCAATATGTTATTTCTCAGGATATTGGCAGGCAAGCCAGATAATGTTGCTGCTACTCATCCGTCTCTGAAACTGAACCGAGTTTGTTCATTTTTATCATTCATACACAAATTTCCTTTGTAAAAATACATTTAAGCACTTTGTATAATATTGTAAAATTTTAATGCTTTTTTTACTACATAAGTGTTGTTGTTGTTCAAGGTGCTTTGAAATTGATATAACCCAACAAATTTGTTAACTGGCCTTATTTACAGAACCAGGGTCAGCTTGCTGGGGGCTCTAGCAATCCATTTGTCCAGGGCAATGTGAATTCCCTGAGAGTGACCACAGCGGCAGAGATTTCATCCTCCGAGGCCATGGGAGTTGATGTAAGCGATGAGACTATAATCAGTCGGAGCCATTTGTCTGAAAAGCAGCAGCACATCAAGCAGAATTTTGAGGAGAAAGAAAGACTAGAGGCCAAACGTTTAGCCAATGAAGAAAAAAAGAAAAAGAAAATTGTACGTATCCTGGATTTTAAAAAAAAAATTTATTCTGTTTCATTTATATTTATTGTCACATTTTTAAACTCCTTGGCTTAATCAAAAATCAGCCCTGTCTATCTTGATGTTGATAAAAGAATTTATTTATATATGAACAATACTTTAAAAAGTATGAAAAAATGTCTTTTTATATTATGTTATTTAATATATGATACAATTGTTTTAAAATTAAAGCACTTTCTTCATCCAGAAATATGAGAAATTGTGTTTAATTTCTAATATTCATATTAGCTATTGATTTCTTATTTTAATATTGTAGACGTTTTTATTTTGTATCAGTCGTTTAATTTTCTTATCCTAAATTTCTCATAACATAGGAACGTGAACGCATTCTTAAAGAGATCCAAGAGGATAGAGAGAAGGTGAAGCTGACCAAACACCTGAAAACTGAGCACCCTAATCCTCAGGCAACAGTACAGTCTGCAACCACCTCACACGGCGCCGTCACTCCCACTGAAGCTCCTGGTGGGGAGGAGGGTGGTGCCAGAGCTACAAGTATACAGGTGAGAGGACAGATTACATCATGTAATTGTTGGTACTGTAGCTACAGGTGACAGGATAATTACATCATGTAAATTGTTGGTACAGTAACTACAGGTGACAGGATAATTACATCATGTAATTGTTGGTAACAGAGCTACAGATGAGAGGACTGATTACATCATGTAATTGTTGGACGTTGCCTAAACCTGAGATTTGCCTGTTGTATTTTAGGTTCGTCTGCCCTCAGGACAGATGTTTCGTGAAAGTTTTCCTGTGACCGCCACACTCAACTCTGTGTGGGATGCGGTCTACAACCAAATCAAAACTGCCATCAACGCTCATTCTGGCTTTATACAGGTGTTTACATTGCTCTTCCTGCTACTGTTTAATTTTCCTCTAATTATATGCATTGTGTACATTCAAGATACCTAGTTCATTATTATAGAGGTGTGTAATACTTAATACAAGTTGTTCACAAATATATTTTTTTTCCATTTTTACAACCAGTGGTTGAATTTATGAAAATAAAAAGGTAGACTGTAGTAGTTTCAACCATTAAATTATTTTTCCAACTTTTTCAATCCTAAAAGTTTTAGTTTTGGATTGTTTCATTATTATGGAGTGTATCATTATTTTACATTGTACCCTTATTGTGGGGTGTATCATTATTTTATATTGTATCATTATTTTGAGGTGTATCATTAATGTATATTGTACCATTAGTTTGGATGTGTTAACCATGTCAGTGTGATATTTTCCCAGCCTTTTCCCAGAAGAGAATTTCTGAGGGAAGAAATGAACCAAACACTGACTGAGCTGGGTCTGGTCCCTTCAGGGTCACTTGTGCTGAAGAAAAAAGATGTCCAGCAAGCTACTCGTATGTACTAACATATCTCAGTCAATAACTTGATCAGATTTTTTTTTTTGCTTAGAAATATCTGAACCTGTTATTTTTTTAAATGGAGCAGTCTCTATCTTGTGGGTTCTTATTTGTTATATGAAAGCTTAAAGTAAGACATGTTTTTTAAAAAAGTAAAGAATCCCTTTCAAACCTGACGGTCTATGGGGCAAGTGAAGTAGAGTTCACTTGTTTAAGACATTTAATCTGTTTACATTTTTTTAAAACTTTGATAGAATAGTTTTCATACATAATCATTTTAAATGATATCCATTTTATTTGAAAACAAACCATCCAGTAGCAGCTTAGTAAATTAAACAATGTCAACATTGATTTTTCCTGCATGTAGCAAAATACCAGCTCTATTATTTATCCTGTGTTTAGCTGTAAATTATTAATTGGTAAAATATCAATTGATTTTTCCCATTTAGCTCAAAATGTCAGCACAATGCAGTCCCCCACCATCATGAGAGCCCTTGAGCAGTTTGAAGCAGATGAAGATGATGAAGATGATGATGAAGAAGGGAGAAACAATATGGCCATACCTGCTGAACATCAGTGGGGGAGGGGTTTTGTGGTGGAGGGGGATGATGAGCCTATGGATGTTGGTAGGTTTTATGGAGGGGGAAGAAATAAATCTGTAATGGTAGGTTTTTATGATGGATAGAAGACAGATAAACTTATTGATGTTGGTAGGTTTTATGGAGTAGGAAGAAATAAACCTTTGGATGTTGGTAGGTTTTATGGAGTAGGAAGAAATAAACCTTTGGATGTTGGTAGGTTTTATGGTGAGGGAAAGAGATGAGCCTATGGATGTTGGTAGGTTTTATGATGGATAGAATACAGATAAACCTATGGATGTTGGTAGGTTTTATGATGGGGAGAATACTGATAAACCTATGGATGTTGGTAGGTTTTATGATGGGGAGAATACAGATGAACCTATGGATGCACCTCGTTCTAAAAAATTCAGTTTGAGTCAGATCAAAGTTTATATATATAATCTTATGGTTACTACAAAATGAAAATTAAATGCTACTTTAATGGATATATGGTTTAGGAAAAACTATTTGAAAAACAAAGAAGTTTTTATAAATCCCTAAAGAAATAAACGTTTCTAGTGATGTTGCAACCTAATTAATTCCTGAACTAAATAACAAGCAACAAAAAAATAAACCTTCTTTGCTTTTCTTACTTTTTATTTTTTTGTGTGTAAAGGATGTAATTACTTGACAGCAAAGTATAGTTTATTCAATCTTTTCTTCAGGAGAAGACAATGCACAACACGCAGTACAAAATGCATTGAATGATTTCCTCGGGATGGGTGGCCCTAATTTTCAAGGTGGGGGTCGTCATCGTGTGTTTGAAGGTTTTGGCAACAGGCTTGTGCCTGAAGGTGTCCCAGGTGACAATAATGTTCACCTGTCCAGGAGAGCTCCAGAAATGGCAGGTCAGTGCTCTGTGACTTCACTACAGTTTCTGTTTGTCTTACATTAATCATGAGGTTATAATATACTGCACTTCATTTCCCAAGTGTAAAAATACATCATAACAGTAAAATAAATGAAAAATAATTTTTCGATGCTAGTGATATCTCCAACCTCTATTCTACAATAGTAAGCATGTAAGGGTACAAATCAGAGTACACTGTAATGGTCCATAAAGCAGAGTTGCTCTCAGCTGATGAAGGGGTTATCTAGTCTGTGATGTTTCAAAGCACATTATATTCCCCTGCTCAAGTCAGGTGGTTGTCAAAACTAGGTGGACACAGTGATCTCTTATTTGCTCAAATCCAAGAATCCAACTCTAAATTGTTGGGTTAGAAGCTATGCTTTTACAAGATATGTCCATTGATTTAAAGCCCCAAAATTTTCTAACAGATGCCCATGTCCATATACAGTTTAAATTTTCTGACTTCTTAAGTTTTGTTATTTATTACAATACACATGTACGTTTACTTTATCCTAGCAGTAAAAAATCACTTTAAGAATGCGCTGTATTCAATTCTTGTATGCAGCTTTCCCATGTGTTTTTAGCTGAAGCAGCGACCAGCAGATCAGCCCAGCCGCCCCAGCCAGCTCTGACTGAGCCAAGACTCTCCAACCACCACCCCGACCACTTCTACCATGTCCGCAGCCTGCAGGACATGTCCATGCAGAGCCTAGCTCGCCGCCTGACTGACCCGAGAAACCCCATCTTCTCCATGTCTGGCCTGTCTGAGGAACTGCTGCAGAAGTTTATCTCCTACCTAATGAAAGAACACCTGCTCAAACCAAAGCTTCTCTACCTCATGCCAAGGTATGGTTTTCTTCTCTCTGATAAAAAAAAGTAGTTACCTTTTGAACCTGCTGGTCTATGGGGAAAGTGAAGTAGAGTTCACCGTTTCTGTGACCTCAGCATGTGAAGGGATAGTGTAGTCAGCACTAAGCCCAACCACCTTTACTGTCCCTTACATGATTCAGGTACACATCATTTAGACCTGGGTGAACTCAAGGACATGATTTGAACATGGACTTGAACTTGAGACTTGCGGGTAAGCAGTCATAAGCTCTACCACTTGACCACACCTTCCCCTTCTCTCCCTGGTCAATCAATTTTTATTTTAAAGCAGATTGTATAAATATTAAGGACCAAATGTTTTGATTTGAGTATATAATTTGTTGAGTTATAAGCCCATCCATTTAGTGACTTTTTACTAAACCAGTGTGATAATGTTGCATAAAATATTTATTAGAAATAGACTTTTATAAAAATGTGTTATTCGGTTAAATTACCTGTTATTAATTATTTATACCTTTTTTCTCCATCATCTCCAGTTACTTAATCAAACTAGTCCTTGATTATTATCCTTACACCACTAATGAGTTGATACACTCTGTTAGGTAAGTTATCCTGTCTGCTCTATTAAAGATATTTTTCGTGTTTAAAATTTGCCATGAAAAAATGGTAGTTTTTGACTGCTAAACTAACTTGCCATGTTTCAGAGTTTTTGTGAACCTTCAGATATTAAGCCTGAACTCCTGTACTCTGATTACAGATGGTGGGCTGAACTCTATTAAAGGTAGTTGTTGTTTTACATCATAATTCAACTTTATTAGAGTCAGCTGTTGTTTTACATCATAGCAATACCCTAATCAAGGTAGTTCTTGTCTTACAACTCAACTCTTTGAAAGGTAGTTAGTATTTACTCCATGAAAACTCTTTTAAAGGTAGATGTTGTTTTGTTGTCTTTGATCCTATCTAAGGTAATTATTGTCTTACACCTCAACTCTATTAAAGGTAGTTGTTTGTTTCACTTTTGTACTCTTAAGATCTTGTTTTTTTATTTGAGTAATGTAATTTTCTGATGAGAGTTTAAGCTGTTCTATCACTTGCTCTAACATTTTGTTTGTTTGTCAACAGGGCTAAAGTACTTGAAGGTTTTGAACCTGAGTGGCTGTAGTCAGTTAACCAATGCCTGTTTTTCTGTGATCCAAGGTGTGTAACTGGTTTATCTGTAGAAAACAAAAAATTTTTGTTGATCTACAGCCTGTATCTGAAAGATCCAGGTTCTTCATTGACAATTAGACTATCTGTAACATCATATGAGACTTATATGGCACTTAAATTAGCTATAATAAAAAATTAGTACACCATATATATTTTTCTGAACTAAAAAAAAATTAAATTAACTGATAACGACTTAATCTTCTTTTTTAAACTGGTGTATATATACTTTCTTTTTTAAATTAGTTGCTACAAATAATATGTTATCATGCTTGATGCTTTTTGTTGCTAACCTTGTTTAATTACCTCCCTTGACTGAGCAGAGTTACAGAACCTTCAGACGTTAAACCTAGAGGGCACTGGGGTGTCAGACGCTGGGGTCATCCAGTTTGCAGCGTCCAGCAGCTGCACACAGCTCCAACACCTGGATCTCAGTCGGACCACAGTCACTCAAGATGTCTTCCAGTCTTTACAAAGTGAGCCACGGACATGACACACCACTTACATGACACATCACAAACATGACACACCACTTACATGACACACCACTTACATGACACATCACAAACATGACACACCACTTACATGACACAACACTTACATGACACACCACTTACATGACACACCACAAACATGACACACCACAAACATGACACACCACAAACATGACACACCACTTACATGACACACCACTTACATGACACATCACAAACATGACACACCACAAACATGACACACCACAAACATGACACACCACTTACATGACACACCACAAACCTGACACACCACAAACATGACACACCACAAACATGACACACCACTTACATGACACACCACAAACATGACACACCACTTACATGACACACCACAAACATGACACACCACTTACATGACACACCACAAACATGACACACCACTTACATGACACACCACAAACCTGACACACCACAAACATGACACACCACAAACATGACACACCACAAACATGACACACCACAAACATGACACACCACTTACATGACACACCACTTACATGACACACCACAAACATGACACACCACTTACATGACACACCACAAACATGACACACCACTTACATGACACACCACAAACATGACACACCACTTACATGACACACCACTTACATGACACACCACTTACATGACACACCACTTACATGACACACCACTTACATGACACACCACTTACATGACACACCACTTACATGACACACCACTTACATGACACACCACAAACATGACACACCACAAACATGACACACCACAAACATGACACACCACTTACATGACACACCATTTACATGACACACCACAAACATGACACACCACTTACATGACACACCATTTACAACCAAATTTAGGTTTAAAGACAAGTTAGTAGCCTATGTTTTGGTTTTTTTCTAAATTGTGATGTTGAATCATGACCTGCCACTTTTAAATCTTGGTCACATTTTATTTAATTCAGATTTTACCAAGTTAAAATCTCTGTACTTGAAGCAGACTAAGGTAAGTGTTAATTTAATTTCATGAACCTAAATGTTGTATCAAATAACAATTGTGATATTTGTATCAAAAAGGTGATATGTTTGATTGAAATAAACATATGTAATATGTTAACGTATATAAAATGTATGTTTACTTATATCAAACAGATGTGATACGTTTACTTGTATATCAAACAGATGTAATATTTACTTTTATATCTAACAGATTTCATATGTTTACTTATATGCAATGTGTTTATTTGTATCTTACAGATGTAATGTGTTTATTTGTATCAAACATATGTAATGTGTTTATTTGTATCTTACAGATCAATAGCCTGGCTGGTATAGAGGGCATCGTCACACTTGAAAACTTGGATATATCTGACACTCACATTGTCACTGACTCAGTTTTGTGTCTGACCCGACTGCCACACTTATCTCACATCAGCTTAACTGGAACCCAAGAAGTCAATGGGGACCAAGCATTATATTATTTGAAAGGTAACACTGTAACCATTAACTAATGGGAGTTTATGAAGGGTAAAATATAAACACATTACCACTTACTGCTATGCATTAATAGTTTATTCTTTCCTAAGCAAATTAATAGCCTTTTTTTTTTTAATTTTTTATAAAAATGTATATGAAAATCCATGTTACATGTTCATCATATGAGGCACATTAGTTTTAATTTCACTAATTATTTTGCCTGCAATTTCTATTTTTTTTATATTTTATTTTCTTAAACATCTGTAGAAATAGATTAAATGATAGAGGCAGAACAACAAGAATATATTATATATATAAAAACTTTTTTTTTACTGGTAGACTACCAAAGCAAATTACTAGCTAGACTTCCATAGCTATGTGGAAACAAAAATATTATGCAGTTTCTGAGTATTTAGAGACATAATGGTACCACTTTTGAAAAAAAAATATGCTATAGGGCTAAATTACATAATGTTTTTTTTTTTTAACAAAGAGAATGCAAACAATTCCTTATTAAAACTATCTTTTGAATTAATTTTTTTGTCCTGACAGATATGAAGATAACAGGTTTATTTTTGCCCAGTCGAATAACAACAAGTGACACGGGGTTAGCATATATCTCAGGTAAAAATCTTCAACTGCAAGTGTATTTTTAGAAATTATTCGAGAACTCTTGTATGCCATAAGTTATGAAAACATCTTACTCAAATTTTTCTTCAACTACTCCAGGCTTCCAGTTAAGTGCCTTGGATCTGACAAACTATACAAATGTTGGTGACCAAGGAATGGTCCACCTTGGAAAAATGACCAGGTGAGATATACAACTCCAGGCACATTGACATGTTGTTTAATAATCAATTTTCTAAAAGAAAAAACTGATTAAAAGTGATAAGGATATCTAATAATAAATGTATTTTTATATATTGGTTTGTGTTTAACAACATAAGCAACCCATTCTGTGTCAGTTTGTTCATTCTAAATGTTTGTATTTTGCCAACAGTTTAAAGAAATTATTACTCAGTAACACCAAAGTGACAGATGAAGGTTTAAAGCATTTATCAGGTAATTATTACTTTTATATCATTTGATCAGAAGTTTTTATGTACAAAAATTTAATTAAAAGTATCCAATTAGCTAAATGTGTTAACTGTGCTTTTAAATTGATCTAAAAAAAACCGCAGAAATGTATAAATATAATTCCTGTCAAGTACACCAGTACTCTAATTATCAGACATTGTTTAATTGTATTCAATTCAAATGTTTTAAAAAATGTGTAGGTCGCTGATCAGCAGTATCACATAATTTAAGAAATTTAAAGCCCTTATTTACATTTGTAACTAAATTTAAACTAAAAATATATCATAATTAAATTTTAAATCCTCTTGTGATTATTTCTCATGTCTAGGTCTTGTGAATCTGGAAGTATTATTGTTAGACAGGACACAGGTCTCCAACGCAGGTGCCATGATTGTATGCAGTAAGTCGTTTGGGACATCAGTTTTATCCAAACTAAATTTACTCATTTAAAACATGTTAAGTTTTGGAAAATCATTTTTAAAATGTAAAAGTAAAATGCATATTTCTAGAGATGAATTTGTAATGCATCATATTATGTTCTTTACCCAGACTTCAAACTGTTAAATGAATTGAGTCTTTCAGCCACCAGGTAACCTTACTCTCTAGCTTGAGAACATAGTCGTAAGCAGCTTTTTTTTTTTTTGTAAAGGGAATAAAATAAACTAAGATATTTTTTTTTTAAATTCCCTTTACAAAAAAAAAAGCTGTGTACCACTATGTTCTAGTATATCTTTGGTTTATTTTAAGGAAAGAAGCAAAGAACATTTTTAGAAATAAAGTATTAGATTAGTATTAACCTAAGTTAGGCTTTAGATTTAGGATATAAAATGATGTTTGCAGCTCTAGGTCATTTGACAGTTATGTGTGTCTAGCTTGTATATGCTTTCTATACTTGTAAATCTAGAGTTAATTATAATATTGACATTTTATTTTAATCAACATTTTAATTATTAATTTCCAGAGGGTAAATGGGTTGTTTTCTTCATAATTTTATAACTAAACTTTATACTGCATTACATACAAAAGTGTAAATTAAAAACATTTCTTTTAACCCCCTCAGCATAACAAGTGACTTCCTAATTCAAGGTTGCCTGAACAAATGCATGAATTTAACTAAACTCAACCTCAGTCGTACAATCATCAAAGACAACGGTACGCTGTTTGTAGAATTTTGGTGCAATTCTTTTCTTCAGTTAGATTAAATTTTAGTTTTTTTTTTTACAAATTAAGAATTTTTTTTCAAATTGAAATTTATTAGTGAATTGATTTCTTGGTGTACTTGTTATGTCATTGCAGGTATCTCCAACCTCAAGTTGCCAAATTTACTGCTGCTAAACCTGGACTGCACCAGAGTCCACCCCTATTCTGAGGGTACCATCAGGGCAAACTGTCCAAACATTAAATCAGTAACCATTGCAAATCTCTCTTCCTTAATGGAAGATGAAGAAAACTAAACTATAAAACAACTTTGTAAATACAGTGTGTACATAGCTGATTTTATAAAGATTCTTATGTCGAAACATATATAAATTGACTGGCGCGTTCATGAGCTATCGGTACATAGTATGAAAATATTTTGATACATGATTTATTTACTATCAATACAAAAAACCTGAGCTCTCACTACAAGAAAACCACAAATTCCTTGTATTGTGCAATATGTTGGAGCATGACAAAACTGTGAGTGAAAAACAAAAAAGCTTCTCAATACTAATCAAGTCATCTCAAGGAGTACTTTTATGAAAAACTGAAGACCATGTATTTTATCACTACAAAACCTATTTTAAAAGTTTTAATTTTTTGTTTATTTTGGAATTTAAATCTTTTGTATGATTATGGTTCACATCTTTTAACTTAGTTTCTCAGTTGAGCTTAAATTTAAATTATATAAAATATGTTCAGTCTCAAAATAAAAAAACAACATGAGAAAGTGTTTGCAAATTGTGTTTGAAATCATTTCAATTTAGGTATAATTATGTAATGTTGTTGGTTTCCTTGTTATAGAAGTGCATATGGAGCAGTCTTTCTTATTTAACATAATCTTGAACAAAAATACTCTGCTCAAAAATGATTTCCTATGAGAAGATAGCTTTCAAATTTGATATCACATTATAGGACGTCATGATACAAAACAGAATTGTTAACCCACAAATAGGTGGTGAGTGGTCCCAGGGTTCAAATCTGTACCTTCCTCAGTCCACCCACCTTATCATGTTATGACTTGCATGGAGAAGGTGCTGATCATACAATACATAAAAGGCTCCATTTAACTTCCTGTAAATTGTTTGGTTTTCTTCTTCATTCTTAATTTTAATGGACAGGATTTCCTCAAGCACAATTAAGTATTTCATGTCAACGTGTTGTTCGCCATATAGGACATTGGCTCAAATTTCAGTCTGCTTTCCTTTTTGGATTTGTTTCCATTGCCTTTTTCCAAACTACAAGTCAGCAGTTGTCTGATTTTGGAGTTTTATCTCTAGATGGGTTGCTATCACTATGAGGTGAAAATGTTTTGAAAAGAACCACAGAGACAACTGAAAACTTATGTTATATTTTTAATTCAGCAAATAATTTTTTACAAAGTATTAAATCTCTCCCTAAACTAATAAATAAATGGTTATAAAAATGCTAATTATTCCATTAAAGTTTCTATAAAGACTTTTGATGTGATCCAATTTAAGACTTTTAGACCTAATATTCCTTATGATCTAAAATATTAATTTTCAGGCTAAAGTGAAGATAACGGAAATTTTTAAAGAAAAACCCCTTGTTACACTACTGCTTCTATGTGAAGTTAAAATTTGGTTTTTTTACCAACCGTAAAAATGTTCCATTATTTTAAATAAATATATAAATAACTAACTTCAGTGGCATATATTAAAAATGGTGCCTTTGATTTGATCCATCAATTCCAGAACTTAGCCATTAACCAATCACACAAGGGAGAGAACACTGCTGAATGGTTGCTAACCATTGAATTACCAGTGCCACAAAGGGGGTAAGAGTTGCCATTTTAAGACTGTTTCAACACAATCAAACATTTCCTTTCAAAACTAAGTTCCTTATTAAAAAGGACATATTTGTTGATATTTCATGAATCATGACATAAAAAGGTATACATAGCAATGTAATAAGTCTGTCATCACATGTGAAAGTGAGAGGGCTAAAATCAGTAAAAACCATGTACATGTGAACAATGAGTGAATGGATAAAAAAACAAACATAAAAGCAATGATAATGGTCAATGTGTCTGGTGAACTCTGTACATTCCTGAAGATACATCAGTCGCTGTCGTCCTCTACTACATTCGGAGAAATCTTTTTCCGTTTTTTGGTCTGAGGTTTTATCTCATCCTGTAAGTAATCATCAATCAATTTAGCAATAAATTTAAGAACCAATGAATTCATAAAAAAAAATTAAACACAGAAATGATTCATTAGTTTAAAAAGAATACATGTTTTATGCAGTCATTTCAAGTGTGCTAAAGTAGATACAAGATCAAAAAATATAAATATCTGCATTTAAGTTGATTAATATTTGTTTTTAAATGACAATTGAAAATTTTAATGTGTCGTTCATATTACTGTGGGGTGGAGTGCTCTAGTAGTAGAGCACTGGACTGCAAACCCTAAAGCCTCTAGTTTGAATCAGTTAAATGTCCCAGAGTCCACCCAGCTGTGATGGGTACCTAACTCACTTAAGCGAAAGTAAAGGCGGTTGGAACAATTTAATCCTTCATATGCCGAGGTCACAGAAACTGGTGTACTGGAACTTTACTTTTTTTATTTCATATTATAAATTATTGAAAATGAACAAAAATGAATAAAAGAATTAATTCAAATATTTCCAATTGAAATCTTACATCTGAAGAGTCACTCCCACTGTCACTTTCAGCTGATTTTTTGCTCTTTGAATATTTAGGGCTTAAACCACTAGCATTTGAAGCTTTTCTGCCTCGCAAAACCCTAACAGTCTTTATGTCATCTATGTCTTCTGCTAGAGCTAGCAAATCACTGTACCTGGAAAAAACATTATTTAGTATGTTTTAATTCTAGGTATCTAAAACACATTCTCATAAGGTCTATTGTATCATCCATTGTAACTGCAACTAAAATGTTTTTAACAAATAATTTATTTAAAAATATTGGCATTTATATTCAATGCTACTGAGTGCGTTCACTGGAGCCCACATTTAAAAACAATTGTACTTGTAAAAGTTAATGAACAAAAAATGAATGTTATCAATACTAATCTTGGGCATGCCAGTGATTTTGTTTTCTGGTGAAAAAGAAAGTAGGGAGTGTGACCAAACATATTTAGACCGCCCCCCAGGCAGAACCCTAATGGGACACATTTGGTAGCATCTGATGGGAATCAGTTTTAAAAAATGTCAGGTAATAAAAAAAAATTTACTTTGTTTTCTGAGCTTCACTTGCAGTTATCTGTACTTGTTGGAGTGCATGTTGGACATTTTCATGGTTTAAAACTGAAATAAACAAAACCAAAAAATTAAATCCTTACAAAAAGAGTAATTTAAAAAAATAGCTTGTTGTATGCTTATGTTTTACTTTACTCACATGAGATATTACGGCACACTTGTCGCATATGATCAAGGTGGGCTAAAATCTGATCAACTGTAGGATGATCCTTTTTGGTGCTCCCAGTTCTGGAATATTTTTTTTAGTGTATAACAGCCACATTTTTATTTAATAAATTAATAAATTTTAGTGGATTATTACAAAACTTGTGAACAAAACAAAATCTAACCTCTGTCTTTTCTTTGGAGTGCCATTTAGCTTAGTGAGTTGGTGGTTTATGAGCTCTGCTAATCTGTCCTCATGCTCCTGAGCCCAATATTTGAGTATGGACACAGTGAAGAAGTCTGTTTTCTTACACTCTCTGGATAAAACTGGCCTTAAGATGTCCCAGCTAGGGCTAGAAGAGATAGCAAGAGATGTTCATTTGAAGGCCAACGATGTGTCTTAGCAGTGCAACAAAATCTAACTGGACAAGATTTCCAAGGTCCATCTCTATAAGTGCTGCCTTTCCACCCTCCCCCTCAACAAGGCTAGCATAATATTATTTCTCAACACTCAAGAAAATAAAATAAATCAACATACTTTTGAAGGTAAAGTTTTGAAAAAATGTTAACAGAAAGAATAAATAAAATTTTTACCTCTACAACCTAGCATACATAGAATAAATTAACAGTAGCTAATATGTTATTTACCTGACTTGCTTTAATAGAACCATCAGACTGGTCAAGGCTTCAGCATTGGCTACATCATAAATATAATTAAAACAAAATTGTTCAATAGTGTTTTTTTTTAAATATATAGTTGTCACTATTTACACCAACAAAATGTGTAATTAAAAAATGTATTGAAGTAACTTTATAAAATTAAACTTACAACTGAACTCCAACTTGGGAAGAATAGGAAGTATGTGTTCGACAGGGATGTTGTGTGCCATGACTAGTTGCCACAAAAAGTACTGCTCTATTGTTTCCCAATCTAAGCTTGCATCTAAAATACAAGTATTTTTAGAAAAATATTGCTAACTACTTTAAAAGAATATAAATACTAAAACTCTAGTGATTTAGTTAATTAAGAAAAAAATTATGTTTTGCGAAGGGAAGAAAGATATACAAATAAAAAACTAGGAGATAATCAAATTAGCAAATGATGTTCTTACTGAGAATGGACAGAAAAGTTTCCCTGCTTTTAAACATCAAGAGATGGCCTTGTAATATTTGACAAATCAGATCCTGGAGCTGAAAATAAATATGGTGTAAAAAAAAAAAAAGCTCAAAGGAGTAAATCAATTCCCTATTTTATTTTTTGTTATATCCTTAAGTAAATTTGAATTCTTTTATATGAATAAAATTCCAGCTGTAATTGCGCGGAAATTAACGAAAATTTGTTTACCTGTGAGCCATCTATACTTGAAACAATCAGATTCAAAATTGTTGCATTCCCCACGGCAATGTTGGGAAACTAGAGATAGATAAACATTTCATCAACACAAGATTACACTAGACATTAAAAAATAACAAGTTGGTGAACAAAATCAACATTCAATAATAAAATAAGTAATCTTTAAAAGAAATCTAGAATGCATAAATGGTTTATAAGAAAAATAAATGCATTCAATACATAATAAGATTCGATTTATTTAGAAAAATTTAACTGTATGTTAATTCAGGCAACTTACATGTGTATAAATATCTGGAATTAGATATGTAAATAATCTGACATCATCGGTTTGACATAGCTGAAACAAGTAACAAAATAGTTTGTTAGCTAACTGAAGCAAGCTGTACATTAAGAAAAATGATTCAATAATAGATAGATGAGCACAGCATTTAAGAACTTATTAAAATATTTCAACATGAACTTCAAAAATTACACTAAGTAAGGATATAAAACTGACTGAGTTGTTAAGCTGTAGAAAAAGCTGCCACATTACATACCTCCAAATCAGTAACTAAACATGATTTTAAATCTTTGTTGTCCATGTTTTGACAAAAATCCTTATACAGAGACAACTTGTCGTCACTGCCTTTGCTAAAAAAAAGTTTGTAAATTATGTTAATGAAATCCTTACAACACTAGAACACTTTTAAATTTAAGACAGATGTGAAATAAAGAGTAAAATCTATTACAGATTAAATCTACTGTATACTCAAGTTATTTAATGGAATATCTACTACAGAATCTTTAAAATCTTTAAAAAAACAAAAAACAAGCAAGTTATTTTGAAGTCATTACAAAATACTGAAACTCAATGAACATACCTGACTTTAAGAAAATATAACAACATGTAGCCAATACGAGGTTGCTTGAGATACATTTCTCCTAACAGAAGGAAAACAGGCTGACGTCTTGGGTCATCCTCTGACATTTGACTTAGAAATCTATACAATAAAAGAAAAAAAACCTTTTGAATTTCAACTAGGATTTGCAAACTTAAAGTACAAAAGAAAGCTTGGTAACCGCATTTCTAATGTTTCCAATACTAATATAGTAATATGGTATCATTTCAAGCATTTTATAAAATTAAAAAGAATACTAAAAAATGCTCTTACCTGAATATAACAAACAAAGGGGAGCCTATCGAATCTTCTATTGACCTGTTAAAGAAAAATATTGAAAAAATTGCATTCAATTTTAAATGTCTAAAGTTTTATTAACAGATCTGATCACCCAATATGCTATGGTCATAACAACATGGAAACAGTACCAGTGCTGGCTTGACTGAAATGGCACTTAACTGTTTATAGTTTCAATGGATTTTATAATGTCCTATCAGGAGGAATCACAATAGAGATTTAGTTATTTTAGTATTTCCCTCTTCTCCCTTAGCTGATTAGATTAAGTCTCTACCTAAATGACAACAATACTTGTGCTTTATTTCTATACACTTACTCTTCATCTATTTCTTGAGGAAATAATTTCTTGTGGAACTGTGGACTTAGAATTTGACACAAACAAGTTGCCAGTACTGATGCTTGATCCTGATCAAAATCATCCTAGAAATATTTAAATTAAAATATATTTCAGAATATAGAAATCAAATTAATTTTACAGATCTAATTCAAAATAGAAACATTCAAATAAGATTACACTGCAAGATATTAAAATAAGTAAAACAAAGGAAACAAGTAATCTTAAACTTAACAAAAATATCTTTTTATTCTTGCTTTTTGATTGAAAACAGTTGTTCCTTAGAAAAAAAATTAACTTTAAAAAAGTATTTTCTTAATGTATTAACTTACCTCTTGAATGACAACTTGCATTAATTTGTCAGTCAAATCACACTGCATTTCTTGATTTCTTTTAAAGATAAGTTGAAGTTTCAAATTTGAATACAAATTTACATTGTGAAGCATTGCTAAAAATAATTTTTTTAAAAACAATGTGTACTGTAAATGCTACTTAATAAAAACCCTTCAATGAATTATCTTTTTCCTGCCACCATTTTGTTACAATGTATATTATTAATCCTAATTATAAATAAAAAATTCAAACAGTTTAGCACCAGCTAAATTCAATGATAGTTTTTTAGTTTAACTAACCTCTCTCCTTGCAACTCAACAGTCAGGTCATGAATCTGGCCGCTAAGCTGGTTCATGAACTCAGTTATGTCAAGGGGAACGTAAGCTGATGACTCTTTTATAGGGCGGAAGCCCACATCATCTTTTAATTTACCTGTCAAATAGACATAAAATTATTTTATTATAGTATACTGTAGTTTTACTGAGTATAACTCTAGCAATATATTTTGTAAACCATTGTAGATTCCTTGAGAAATACTAGTTGTATAGTAACTCTCACCTGAGATAATAAATCTAATCCTCTAGTAAATAAATCCTCTAATTTACTGACTTACCCAAAGGCACATTATCTTCCTCATCATCACTAAAACAAGCATCAGATAAATTGTTCTCTCCTGTGTGGTTGTTGGCTGTGTCCATGTCTAATTCATCCTTGGGGGATAACTCCTCTTTCACTGAATTAATAGTTACCACATTTTAATTGCTTTATCTTTTTATCATTTACATCAATTAAAAAATTTATTAATGCCAACAAACACATTTGGCTAAATAAAAAATGTAATAACTTTTATAATTCATTAATTCTGAAAAATTCTTTTAAACTAAAAGTTTTTAAATGCATTAGTTGAATGAAAGTAAAATGTTTGTTAAAATAAAATACAAACAAAATTATTAAGTGAACAAACATAACTTTTAACTCAACTTTTTAAACTCAAACCAAAATGTTAATAGTAAATCAACTTCAAGTTTTTCATGCACAAGGGATACCTGCCCCAAAACTTTTCAATAAAACGTTTTCAACTTTGCATATTAGTGATACCTTTTCTATTCCAACTTTCATCTTCATTCTCCTTTTCCTCCCTATCTGACATGTTATTTATTTCACAATGAGTCTGTGATAGTTTGGGGGTAATCTTAGAATGAGTACTACCTTCTTGACTACAAAATTCTGTGAAATGTTCTCGCAACAGGTTTCTCAGCTCCTTGTCCAGCTTGGGATTGTCAAACAGGGGAGAAAGGGATCTGCAAATAGATTCTCATAAAACTAAAGTTTGTGCATTCTTATTAACAAAACATTATATGTAATTATCAACTTGATATGCAACAATAAAATATTTCATTTTAACAATATTTTATATCTCAGATGTCAACTACATCAAGATGTAAAAAAATGGTTGTGTAAACTTACGGTAGAACTCTTTTCTCTAAGATAGTTCGCAATGCTGTAAATATGCTGTTTCTTATCTGTGGTGTGTGTGAAGGGCTAAAATTGTTCATTATCTGTCAAAAAACAAATTTAGTTTATTTGTTGAAATGTTAAATCAGTTAAAAACTAAAACAGACTAAAATTAAAACATGGATTAGTTTTTAAAATAAATTAATTAGTATAAAATTATCTTTACAGTGTTATATTTTAAGCTGTAAAAAAATCATCCAAAAGCAGAACAAAATTAACCTTAAAAAACAATAAGAAATATTATAATCTTAACAACTATAACAATATTATAATATTTTAAATTGTGACAAAAGATTAACCAAAAGCAGAACTAACTAAAGCTTATGAACAGACAGTCACACCTACCCGGCACATAAAGTCTAGTAGTGTGGCTGTGATTGCTGGGTGTGGCCTCATGGAGTGAAACATTACCAAAACAGCTGGTTCTAGAGGAAAAAAGATAAAACTATTTAAATATGAATCATCAACACTATAAAAAGATAAAACTGGCTAGAAATCTATAGATAATACATTACCTATGTTCATAATACTGTCCCTCTCTGGATCAAAGAAAAGCCAGTCATAAAAAAGTGCTAATTTTGCATCAGAAGCTGCAACATTTGACTTGAAAAAGAAAAAAAATATATATACAAACACACATTCTATTCAGAACAAGTAGTATTTTCAAGAACAATTATACTTTAAAATTACAACATTTAATAGACACCAGGATTGAAATGAACACTAAGCATAAAACACAAATTCACATCACCAGTATTGATAATAATTATGATCCAACCCCAAATAAAAGCCTTATCCAAAGGGTAAATGTTCTTTATTGCAGTTATGTTGAATACGTGTGATATTGTGAGTGTAACGAACTTACAAGAACCTTAAGTCTTAACTTATCTAAGCTCTACATGAACTTACAGTGCAAGTTGTGAGCAGCCAGCCAATGACAGCCCAACGAGGTATGATATCTGAACACAACAGCTCATTGGATGGGTGAAAAACTGCACAGATGTATCTTATCAGATCACAACGTAATGATTGGCTCTCAGGCGTTGACAGGTACTACAAGATAAGATGAATCAGTTTCAATAATATTTAATATCATGGCATACAATGTATATCTAGTAATAGTTTATCACTGCTCTCACTGATAAATTATATAAACTCCTAAAAATGCTAGTTGTTAATTTAAAAACTTGCAAGTTCTATTTACAGTACAAAAATAATCACCTGTCTCTGAAACCAATCTTGGTAACGTTTTTGTGTTCCAAATCTCACCTGAAATAATTAAATATTTAGCAATGTACACTGTATTTATTGAATTCAATATAAATCGTTGCTACACAAATCATTTAAAATATCTCCCATGTTTAAAAAAAATTATTTGCTTTAAAGATGTTTTACTAGATTTCAATTTACAGACCTTGGTAATGAGGAAAATGAGTTTGTTCTCCATGTCAGGGGTTAACCTTCCAACCAAAAATTTCCTTGAAGTTCTTATTTGCAGTAACTGAGCAACACCTGTATTATTTTGTGAAATATTTATAAAAAATAATTCAATTTTGGCACATAATTAAATGTATGAGCTAATAGTAAATACCCACATAAAAATTTTTATAATTTGATTTTTTTTTACATTTTTTAAGAAACAAAGATAGAACCTACAGAACATATTTAAACATACTTGCATTTTGTCTATTTGAAAACATCTATGTGAAAAGCTAAATAAGATGTGTTCTAAACAAGTTATTCTTTATTTACTGTAATTATTCTGCCTTTACTGTAAAGAGATTATGATATAAAATAATTCTTACCGGTAAAAGTTGGGGACAATGAGGTTGGATTTAATACTATGTCCTTCCACAATAATTCAAACTCTGGAATCCTGGCAACGTTTTGTAATAACCTAACAAGATCTCTTCCTATCTGCATACATTCTTGCCACTGATGAAATAATGATTACGCAGTTTCCAGTTAACATAGACTTAGAAAAATTTTGTATGATTAAATTATGAAAAAAGCTATTAGATGAATACAAACTTACATGTGTTCTTAAAAGATTGACACACAATTCCACTTCTTTTTGACGTAGTGCGCCTAAAACTGGTGCACCATGATCAACAATAATCCTTAAATATGTGTAGACCACTGTAGCCATCAAAGATATGTTTTTGGCAAGGAATGGTCTGAAACACAAACCACAATGATCAAAATGACAATAACATGTAAGACTACTTGAGCATACTTGAATACATAATTCTTTCAAAGAAGCAGTTTAAAAAAGTAAAACAAAAACTTTATGAAAAACAGTTACATTTGCTAATTTACTTCGAGATAATAAAGATATATTTACTTGTTGTCTAGAAAGAGATCCAACATATTCTCAGCCAACCAAATATTTCTTTGAGATATGTCCCCTCCTGGTTTATTAAATGAAATAAAAGTTAAAAACAACATATTTCTTAACGAAACAATGAATATCCAAGCTTTAACATACAATATTAATCTGATTTGAACTTACCAACAACCTGTCTAATAATGCCAATGCAAACACTGTCTGCACCTTGTGCATTCATCTTAACAAGCTCCCGACACAACCAGAGCATCTAAGCAACAAAAAAGTGTAAGAGTAAGTCTAAAATAAAACTTAAAAGCATTTAAATATTACAATTATGAAAAGACTAAAACAATTTTTTTTACCTGAGTTTTTGTTGAATCAAGCAGTTTAAGCCATTTTTCATAAACAATTTGATTTATTTTTGTAAGGAGACATGTGAGTCCATCTCTGGCCACTAAGGTAAGTTCTCGAAAACTCTAAAATTAAAGAGATCACAATACACTTTTAATATCCTCTAAGGCAAATGCGATTTTAAGTAAACAAATAAAGATACTTATTTTTAACTTTAAAATTTTTAGAACCCTATAGAATTCAATAGAATCAAATTTGGTAATTAAAAACCACAATTACTTTAATCTGCATCTTTGGGTCAGCAAGGATGCTATACAGCAATCCCATTTGTACCTCATCATGCTGTTGGTTTCCCTTGGCAACCTGTAAAAGAAATTGTTTTTCTGAGTAATCATCAATATATACAGAAAGGGTAAGCTAATATTACAGCTGTATAATAAACATGGTAACTTTATGAATGTATGTTAATATAAAGGAAAAAAATAATTTAGGGACTGAAATGTAGATATTAGGTAAATAACTATAACATTAAAACCCTAAAATGTGATGGCAGAATATGTAAGAGTAAATTGTTCTGTCTAGGGTATCTTTTTAAACTGATATAATTGTGGAGTTTTTTTTTTTTTAAACCCAGTATTTCCCATACAGGATTAAGTAAGTCATTTCCCATACAAAAGGAAAACAAAAGGAATTACTAATAATACTTACATAACCATTCAGAGCATCATTAATTTCTCTCTCTGAACCATTACCAGACAGACTCAAGATTATATTGTAGCATCTCTCCAGCTTCTGTAAAGTTGAATTTTCTTTACTTTAAAATTGGACATATATAAACATATTAAACACAACTAAGTTTAGTATTGATCAACTTTGAAAAAAGAAGTAAACAAGCGTTAAATTTTTTTAATCCAGCAGCAACATAAAGAAACCATGTGTGCTATGCTGATTTAGCAAACTTTATAAAATGAGAATGACTTTGAGGGACATTTTCAAAACGTGACCTTATTTCAAGTATTACACCAACTATTAGTTATTTTCAATGAGAAGTAACAACAAAGATAATTTTAAAGTTTAAAAACAACAAGAACAAGTATAAGTAGTTAAACCTATAAAAGTAAAAGATCTGATCTTTAAAAGGCACTATAACAATTGATGAATAGAACAAAAAAAATAATAATTGAATTAAAAAAAAAATTCTAGATGTATTTTATTTGTTAAATTGTAACAGAAATGTAGCAGTTATTTACTTCATCAAGCTCATCTTTCACATCAATTGGACTTAGCACAAGCAGTCGAGAAGTTGATTTTTCTTTTCCTCCTGAACTCTCCATCATAACATTTTATTAAAAACTGATCATCTGTAGGAATAAATAATTCAAAATTGTATAAAAGAAAAACATCCAAAAGCTGTGTAAATTCTAAAAATGACATCTGGATATTAATAAAGTTCAAATCAGTAGAATGTCCTTGAGTCCACCCAGCTCTGATGGGTAACTCACCGTAAGCCACAAGGAGAGTAAAGGGTGCTAGTCATAGTGCTGACAACACTAACCCTTCATATACTTTGGTCAGAGTAACAGGTGAACTCTACTTCATTTGCCCCATGGACCATCAAGTTCAAAAAGGGAACTTTAATATACTTAATAATTGACTACACACATCTGTCATTTCATTTTTCATTCCACAACTAGTTACTAGAGGGTAAATAACTTGATCTAGTGTTTATAACTACTAGGGCCTAAACAGTACCAGTTAGTCTAATTACTTTACTTAGATCTAGATTTAGTATCAACTTTACCACAGACTACAGTCAGCAACTGCACTACTACACTTGACTTCTTTGTGTTGTCTGTACTCAGTACTGTTAGTGTTAATCTGCTTAATCGTTAGTTCGTAAGTTAGGTCACAGATCTTGATCTATTATACTAGATCTAGAATTCTAGATCTATTTCCTCTATTTATATAGATCTAGATCTATAGGGCTTCATCTTTTCAACTCTTAACTTAAACTAAACTTTAAAAAGTAGTCCTACTGTTGAACATTTTTTTTTAGGCTTACACTGGCTTACAGTAGGCCCTAACAATTCTAAATCTTAGTTAATTCTTTCTAGTCTATCTGCTAATGGCTAATATTTATTTGTATTAAAAAAGAGCCACTTAAGTTTTTAAGTTGATAAAACATATGTAGATCTATATCTAGGATCTCTAGAAGCTAGATCTAGAAATCTAAGTATTAATAATTTAAATTCTAAATCAAACTAAAATCTAAAGTGTCAATATTTGTTATTTGTTTTGTAGCTTTCCACCGTAAACTGATTTTGACTTTGCACAAAAATCGAATCTGAACATGGAACAATAACTTTCAATAATATTCTAATATCTAATCCTCTAGCAATAAGACTACTAAACAGTCAATATCCCTAACTTACAAAGTATCAAATGCTTTCGTTCAATAATTCACATAACGAGCATATTAGCTGAAATTAAAACCAAATGATTTCATATCCACCATCTCTAGTTGCATACATGGTTCTTTTATTCATCGGATTGGGAGATCCGGGCCGATTTTCTAAAAATTTGAACTATAGTAAAGAAAACAAATTACGGTTATTAAACTGATATTTGAAATAAAATTACACTTTATTTTAGGCCTCCAATCCTGAGCTATGAGTTTATAATTTTATAATACATGTGCGTCCATTTTAAAACAAAGTTCAAATAGAGGCGTGCCAAAGGAATATATTTTTAAATTGCCACTCATATCGCCTATGTCTGCATAGTTCCTACGTGTTTATTTACTTTCTGCCAGTGTTCTTCCTTTTCTCACTATATCTGTCAGTCTACCTTTCTAACCGTCTGTCTATCTGCTTGGTCCCTGTTAATATATGACTGGCTTTTTTTTTGTCTGCCAGTCTGTATCTCTGTCTCTTTTGTGTGTGTATCAGTTGCCGGTCTTTCTCTGTCCGTTTGTCTGCTCGAGTGTCCGTCTCTGTCGGTCAGTCTGCGTTCTGTCTGTCTACTCATCTATCCCGAAAACATGGCAAAGTTGGCTGGATAAAACTCATAGGCCTAATAAAATAAAATTGACAGTGAATGATGTATTATCCCCATTTGGGTAATATCTTACCCCAATGTAAACATTCAACAAAAAATAATTATAAACTAATGCATCTGCTGAACGTTGTTAAATAGGCCCTACTTTAAAATTGGTCGGCGTTACTCCCTCTTCTGCGTGAGATGCCGCTATACTACAAGCACGAGATATCAGCGTGCGACGTCATCTACTCCTACTCCTGGCTATCAGATTTATAATGTTGGGTTTGATCAGGGCTCTAATTATTATGGTTCGGTATAGTCATCGACTGTAGTATCCGCTTGTATACTTAGTGTAGGGCGCTTTTGAAACGAATATCCTATATTGTTCTAATGGAGAGAACGGGGTGCTCCGGTCATACGACCGCAGTATGACCGTTGATTTAAGCAGTTCCCTTGACCCATTGTGCGGGACATTAAATCAGCGGACACCTGTTGCTGAAACACAGGGGCAGAGGCGTAGCGATGGGGGGGGGGGGGCAGGGGGTACATATGTCCCCGGGCGCCGACCTTATGGGGCGCCAAAATGGGTTGTAAAAAAAAAATAAAGAATCATTTTAGCTGCATTTTTCATTATAAATAGTTTGAGGGGGGGGGGGGGGTGCAAATCAAAAGTTTGAGGGGGGGGGGGAGGGGGTGCAAATCGAATTGAAAATTTGCTCCCGAGGGGGGGGGGGCGCCAAATTGAAAGTTTGTCCCCGGGCGCCGGGAAGGGTAGCTACGGCTCTGCACAGGGGCACCGCCCCTCCGATACTAAAAATGTTATGGTAGAAACCTCGCAAGGGTGGAGATCTACTCGGCACCTTCCCAAAGTTTTATGGCGACCACATGATTAGGTGTAATTAAGCTTACACGATAAACAAGCACACGAACAATACTTTTATTTATATAAATGTAATCCAAGAATATAATTTAGGTGAGGTAGGCCAACATTTTGAAAGAAAATAATTTGTAAATATAAAACTTTATTTTAATTTTATACTTATTTTTTATATTGCAATACAATTTTAATTAATTATATACATTGAAGTTGAAGTCTCTAAAAAGATTTCCATTATATCCGTTTGAAACACAAAGGTAAAGAAACTTTATAAGAGAGGTAAGTAGTCTGGCTTTATTTGTTTTAGTATTTACATGGGTAGTTTCCCTTAGACTATAACTGACGTTTTCTTTATTGTCTGCAGCTATTAAATAACTCATCCTGGTAAAAAGGTGAATTTATGTGAAAGATGAAAATCTGGACTTCTTTCGGGAACCAATCCAGAGGCGTAGCGGGGGGGGGGGGGGGACTATGTCCCCGGGCGCCGACCTTAGGGGGCGCCAAAGTGGGTTGGAAAAATAAGTTGAAAGCTTGAGGGGGGTGCAAATCGAAAGCTTGAGGGGGGTGCTAATCGAAAGCTTGAGGGGGGGTGGGGTGCAAATTGAAAGTTTGTCCCAGGGCGCCGGGAAGAGTCGCTATGCCTCTGAACCAACCACAACATGAAACAACGTCGTAGCTTGTTCTGTAGACTTTATATGTTAATAGGGACTGATTAGAGCTAGGGTAAATATTATCAGGTATGCTATAGCATCCTAATGGACTCTCAAATGCCAGACTTTTCCCGCTCTTAGAAGCTGGCATTTAGGGTAAAACCATTTTGATTGAGGAAACAACAGGGTTGCATTATGTGTGCTAAGCACTCAATAAATATGTAGGCCTACTAGTGAAATAACCATACCCACAGCTCCGTATATCTCATCTTTTCTCGTTCGTGCCCTAGACATGGGGCTGATGACGTTCTTATGTTTCAACGAGCATTTCCAACCATTAACCTAACCTTACCTCAAGGTAACTCAACTTTCATAAACACAATCTTAAAAAAAATCACAGCGCCTACTCCGTGATCGCAAGAGAGGTCCTCCATTATTCCCTTGAGATGTTACTCGTTTTTGGACGATTTCTAACCCCCCCCCTCCCCCCACACACACATCGCCACAAAGAGTATGAACAACCTTCTGGGGCTTCCCAATGTCACGCTTCAGTCTACCACAGCCATTTCTTTTTTAAAATATTAATAACTGATTACTGGGCTGATCACACCCCCCCCCCCACCCACCCCAACGCTCGCAATCCAAGAACCTATCAAAGTACTAGAGTCTACCTTTAGCCTTGGATTGTCTTGAAATTCCGTCTTAGCTCTTGTTTCACGCAGTAAATGAAGCTTTGTATATCTCTATGGTTATTGTAAACAGGATGTGTCGTAATCAGTTGTCTCGGTGTTGTTCATGTGCGGTTCAAAAAATAGAATTTATTACAAGTTAAAGAAATAAATAAACAAAACTCATTTTGACCTTAGGGATTAGCCAGAGGAGAACACTTAGAAATCAGGAAAAGAAATGCAAACTATTTACATTTCGTAATCTTACGTTTAGGACTACAGTGAAGTACCCTTTAGACCCTGGCTGTCAATGGTGCAGATGAAGTAGAGTGACCTCGGTATATGAAGTGGTCAACTCTATATAAATCTGGGTATACTCAGGGACGTTCTACGGATTCGAACCCGGGATTCAAACTAGAGACTTTCGGGTTAGCCAAGCGTATCTTAAATATGATTCAATAGGTACTCATTGAATCAAAGGAGGCGAAAAGTGAATATAAATAAAAAGTAATATAAAATATACTATCTCTTACATTATTTTTGTTACAATATCAATAGTATCGCTGTCCGACCAGAGTCTCTTCCAGGCATAACTTTGGAGGGGGGGGGGGAGGGAAGAGCACCCCCCAAGAAAGTCTACCCCCCCCCCCCCCCATTTCCCCGTCCTCACCCCGGAGAAAAAATTTGAAAAAAAAAACACTGTGTCCGACACACCACAATGTATTTCCATTTTGAAAAAGGACAAAAATATTCGTTTTTGAAAAGCCATAGCATTTTTTTTTTACATATTTTATTCTCATATGCCACGCTTAATATGAAATGTCTGAAGACCACAATTTTATAATGTGCTTCTTCATAAAAATAATGCTAATAAAAACATTTCTAAAAACATAGGCCTACATTAAACTCTTCCCTATAACACCCCCCCCCCCTCCCCTCCGCCAACTTACCACCCTTTATTCGTGAGAGAACCAAAAGTAACTTGTTTATATTCAAAAGTTGAACCCAGACAAAACGGAGCCAAATATTCTTATCAAAATAAATGAGCAAAGAGAAAATTTGGCGCATTTCGTAATGAAAATAAAGTTTGCATTCAACCCGATTCAGTGAAAATGAGCTGCTCTTAATGTACCGTTTAATCGTTGTAGTATTGTTTAAATACATCACTTTTAATGTTTAATGTTAAATGAATGTTAGACTTGTATTCTCTTGAATATGAGAGAGGCTGAAACTGAAACTTAATGCGGGCTTTTGAGCCCCATTCCCCGACCCATTCCTTGGCCCATTCCCTATCTTATCATGTGCATCTCTTTGTCACGTGCTAAAGTGATCTAGTCCTCTCTTCATTCCCTTCCCCTTCCCCATTCCCTTCCACACTACCTTTCCCATTCCCTACCTTATTCTCAGCTTCATTCCCGGTCACATTCTCTGCTTTAGTCCATTCCCTTCCCCATTCCCTGCACCATTCTCTGTCCCATTATCTGCTTCATTCCCTTTCCTTTCCCTATATCCTTCCCCATTCCTTGCCACATTCCCTTCCTATTCCCTGCCCATTCCCTGCACCAGACCAGACTCAATACAATTTCATTTTCTGTAATATCATCTTGAGTTCTGACACGCCTATTATCAGAACACTAATTATAATTACTCAACAATGCACTTAATTATTCATGCCGTTTGATCTTATTCTATTCTCGCTCAGCCTTTAATCTTTATTTTAAACAAATATACATTGCTTTGGTTTTCAAATTACGTATGCTTTTGTTGTTTGTTTATTTATTTGTTTGTTTGAAAACAAATCTTTAGCGAATTCATTTTGAGACTGCTAAATTTGGACAAAGACTGTGTAAGAATTGTAATTGGACCAATGGAGTAACCATACCTCTATATGGTTCTTTCTAAATGGATTTTAGCCAAGCAATGATAATTATAATAATAACATGATTTAATTTACATTTCTATACAGGAGTTAACTTAGCCAATGTACTAGTCGGTTTGTAAGCAGCAGTTGGTTTTTATAAATGAGATTATGTCAAAAATAATGGTTTGTATACAGTTTCTTTCAGGCGCTCCCACCCCGCATCCACTCCCCAGAAGCACGTTCAGTGCCTCCACCCCACCCTAGCTCCCCCCTCCCCACCCCCATCCAACGAAAAAGAAAACATAATTTAGATAGAAAATATATACTTTAACCAGTGTCAGAACCCCCCCCCCCCCACACACACAAGAAAGTGTCAAGTGCCCCCCCCCCCTCACCTAAAAAAATGAATGAAAGATACACTATTTGAGACACTGCAGGAGACAGTATGACGTAGCCTGAGATCCATTAT